CACTGTCTCGGGCGCGGGCCGAGCTGCGGATAAGGCTCCGCCGCCGCCCCCGCCGCCGCCCCGCGCGCCCCGCCGCGCCCCGCCGCCGCCCCCGCCGCCGCCCCCGCCGCCGCCCTCGCCGCCAGCCGAATCCGCGGCTCTGCTCGGAGCACGGACCGCCGCACTCCCATCGTCGCCGACAGCGCTGAGAGCGCGAGCCCACTTCGCTCAGCCCCCAGCCCTCGCGTCCTCAGTCCTCAGGCCTCACCCGACGCTGTTCGATCAACGTTGCGACGCCAACGATAGAAACTTCTCTTCACACCCCCCGGCCACCCCCATGCGCTCCGCCCGCCGCCCCGCCCCGCACCCCCCGCCTCACCCCGCGTGTCGCTTTCCGGAAAGTTTCCCTCACGCCTTACGGATCGTCGTAACCGCGGCGCCTACTGCGCCCGCAAAAAGCCGAATCCGGGTGGACGCGTGAGGGGCCTACGCAGCTCTCAACATGGCGGTGACTTCGGGTCTAATTTTTTGCGTAAAGAGTCTTGAAAACACTTTGAATGGTAACTGACATGCTATCAATTACATGAGTAGTCCCGCATAAGAAATACATGTTTCTTTATTGAAAGATTTAAAATAATATATTATTTTTAAAATGTTCGTATGATTGTACGAATTGCACCTTTTAATTCAAAATGGTTTATGTCTGGGTTTATTACATATTTCAATGATTATACGTTTTAAAAATTATTAAATCATGCTATCACAAGTGTATTACCCATCATTCTTCTTTCTTTGAGAAGCCTGTTGTTCTTACTACAGAATTTATTTAAGAAGTCTAATACAGAATATATTGCAAGGAGAAGTTCTTTAAACCTCTAAAATGACGTGACATAATTGTGTTGGAGTGAACATCATCTAGCACTGAAGGTATTTATTGAACTTCCTGTGGAAAATCAATGAGTAAAAATCATCAAAATGTTTGACGATTCATCTACTAATGCCATAGCAATAATCTTGATAAAGTGCTTTAAAACATGATACGTTCATGAAGATGGAGAAGAATTTCGTTGTCCTACTTTCTTCAGGAAATATTTTTCGGTCTTACTTATGTCATTTCAATATACGTATACATAAATAACCAGTTTCATAATTAATTATCACATAAATTTGTTCTGTGTCACCATCGTCCAACTAGCCAAATATTGAAGAAATTGATATGAAGTTAAATATTAAACTCAAAGCGGTATTCTAAATTCATTGCACTGGGTAAATTTATTCTACGAATTTACTAAAATGAAAATTCAACTGTGTATGTTTAACTCTATCGTTCTATTGGTGCAATTTGCCTGGGATCTAAACTGAAGGGAATGAATAAATTAAACGCAATAACACTTTGAAAAGACACATTATTGCAAATTGAGTTGTAAATTGCGTCGTAATCGTATGAATTTCATTCGAAATTAGCTCAAATACACATCCGTCTTAAAAGATTTTTATTAATTTATTGAAAAAATTAGGGAAAAATTAAAAGTAATCATTTATCCATGTGCAGGTATTGACATAATAAAATGACTTATAATAGTTTAATGTATTTACCAAAATGCGTGCCCTGATATCTTAGCGACATAATTTTTTTATGATCTTCCCTTCATCATATTATTCATTCTTATACATTCATTCAACGGGATTGGAACGTATACGTTATCACATTTTTAAGATAATTATATATTTCGGTACAATATAGAACTGCATGTAAGAATTAAGTGAACCCTATTACGAGCTGCGTTATATATTTTTAAGATAATATTGAAAACCGATGACCTAACTTTTACAAGAAGATAACCGCACCTCGACAATACTGTTTGCCATTATGCAAAATATAAGCAAGAACGCACGAGGTACGTAGCTGTACTGTATGAAAATCTCCATAAATGACAGCAATTTGAATTTAAGAGGTAGGTGTATCTTGTATCCACTTTAACAACTTTAACAAATTTAAACAAACTAATCTGGAAAACTTTTTGGAAAAAAGAGAGTGTGTTTAAGGGATCATGTATTCACAAAATTCAAAATATCCAGTTTGAAATTCAAGAGGCCATGGCATTTGTCAGATTGATTGGAGGATATCACTAAAAATCATACCTACAGTTTAGACTTTAACGTGGTTCAGAGGCAGACAATCTCACAGGCAATCTCACCTTTTTTAACATTAACAATTTTTTTGGTACCAAGATACACAAAACGTTGATTTTGATTACACAACGTGCTAATTTACTACGTAGTGATTTACTACATTTTGAACTATTAAGAAGTAATTTACTACATATTCGAACGAGATATGGTACGAGGGCCCCACAATACAAACTTTTCTATAAAAAATTTCTGCCGTGATTTTTTTGATGTAGCAGTACAATAATAATTTCTCTATACTTTGAAAGTAGTAGGCAAGAAAGTTACTGTATACATCGTGTTACGTATCATTATTTCCCCGAACACATTCCTCAAATACAGCATCATTTTGAAAAATTCAATTTAGATGTATATATTCAGAAAATTTCTAATAAATAATAATTTATTAAATAAGTATTGTATTAAGATGTTTCTATACGAACACCGTACACCGCTTCATCTGCTTTTTAAAAAAAATCCAATGTGTTATAATTTTAATTTAAGTTTGACTTTGCCTTCTGGTTAAGGTGACAGACTGTCCGTGATAATTTTTTTTATAATTAGTTTGCTCATAATATTTACATTAGTTTGCTGATGTTCCAGCTTAAATTTTAAAGTTCCCTAAACCTCTGTTGCGTAATGATATTTTAACTATTTTTAATTTACGTTCACTACTTACACTTGCGTTTTACAACTTCATTCAAACTACTATTTACTCTTGCGGTTTCTCACTATTCACATTCAGCACACATTCACTGTGGTCGTCTCTGTTGCAACATTCTACATTTATGTCTATCACGTCACTACTGTGCCGTTCTGTTTTCACACGCATGCATACGGTTGTTTGTTTGTTGTTTTCTTATTTCCCGGCAGAGGTGTTTTCTGCTTCGTTGTCGCAACAACGATGTATACTCCTGTGCCATTTCCCCTCACGTCGAGTAATAGGCTTCCTGGAAGGGTGCAAGTAGACGCAGCATTCAATGAATTTCTCGTTTCAATAATACTTTAATACTAACACGAGACTTATTGAAATGTTTAATAGTGAGCCTTGATTTGTTAGAAGTTATGTGTTGTAGTATCTCTCATTACAATATTGATTTCAGTTGTTTCATACGAATGTAAAATCATGATTTCTTAGTTTTAAAGAAGTTCTGCAAAACATAGAAATTAACAAAAAATGAAATAAATATTCGCCGAGACTAAGGTAAATTACGAAATAACAAAATGAACTAATGAATCAATTTAGTTTGTGGTTAATCGAGATTGAAATTAAAAGTAAACGAAATCACAAAACCAATATTCATTCCAATATAGTTCAATGGATATTAAGATGTCTTCATCTGTCTCCCCATCTTCTTCAATTCTTATTATTTGATGGCTAGTCATTAATGTCTTTTTAAACATTCAAAAAGAACAAACATCTTGCACAAATGGTTCAGAAATTGTTAATCTGTTTCACATAATTTATCAGAAGTCGTCCTTTAATTCTCAGATAACCGTTGTCAGTAATATTTTACTGAATTAACTGAATTAAATTTGAATTAGTGTGTAATCTGCATACGATTACACTTTCAATTTCTAGAAATATTCTGAACAAATACTGCCCAACTATATCGAAAATAATGCTTTACAAAGTTCTTGTAATAATGTAAAATATCAAGTAAAGGACATGTATTCAGGCATAATAATTTTTAAACAACCTAAAAAAATCGATTCACATATGTCTTTATTAAGCGACACATCTTGTATGAATCGTATCATTTCTGAGGAACCATTCCGCTTACCACCTGAACAAGGAGGCGCCGCAATTCCAGCGTATCCTCAACGACACTAAACAGAATTACGTGTGAATTTATCGCTGGCCCTAAGACCTCCGGTTCCATTAAGCGTAGTCCCCGCGCAGATGAAGACAGGGCGCGCGCGGCGCGGTGCTAGGGCGTCGCGACGGGCACGCAGCCCCGCCGCCCCCGC